TGAAAATGATAACGATACTAGAAGTACATAGAATATTAATAAAATACAATATCGTATGTGTAAAAAGATAGAGTTAATTTTGTTAAAAATCGTCATGTTTTTCGCGATCGACATCGGTCGATCATTGAGATCTTAACCATAATTGATTAAAACAATATTTTCTTAAATTAATAAAACGCGTGTCTACATTTTAAAAACAAAATCGTCAACATAAAAACTGTAAAATACTTAACACGTACTTTCGAAGGAGAGTTGTTTATTGACTTTCGATGGGTCGCCAGCGTCGCTTACCCGCATACTGGCACACACCCGCTCATAAATCTCGAAAACCCCATAAAATGACCGCACTCGCCCAACTCGACTCAAAACACGTACATCACGCGAGAAAGCCAACTAACCGGTCAACGCTTTCTTCCATTAACACATGATATTAAACCATATGACGGACGACAGATTACAAATTTACTATAATAAAATGTGTTTTGACTTAAAGTCAAATGAAAACGGTAGTTTCTTACTCTATGGTCAAATACTGATAATCTCTACTTTATATCAATAATGTCGACAAAATCAAAAGGAGATAGTATGGAGAAATATCCACCTGTGTACTTTTAACTCCTCATAAACAACGCGACGCATTTAGATTCAAATTTTTACTATAGATAAGTATATGAAGTAATTTCATGAAAAGATTAATAACAAAAATAAAAAGCAGATTATGACCGCAAGCGATATTATAAAAATTAAAAATCTTCTATAATTCGCAAAAAGTTTTTCTTTCACTCCGAGGTCAACGTGAGAGTACCGTTTTACGTTCAAAACGATTAAAAAAAGCTTAATCTCGTTTAATGAAATGCAATTCTAATGCTTTAATCGTAAGTAATAAAATACATTTTACTGATTCGAGACATTCGCTCAATACAGTGTGAACGTTTTTACATCATTAGACATTTCTTATTGAAATGTGAATGTCGGTAATCTGATGTTATTCAATCGATTAGCAGGAAGTTGCACCTCATAAATCATGTTTTTGCTAAGATCAATCTCTTTATTACAAGTAATCGAGTTTCTAAAGAATAAATGAGTGAACCCACTACAACGAAGTATTAATAGTTTTTGTTATTGCAAATTTTAAGACATTTAAAAATAAATTATTTTTATATGATATATAAAATGGTGCCTAATAATTGGTACTTTTTACATATAAAAACTTTCAAAATCGAATTCCCGTCTCCATGAGACTTTAGTCGATTATCGATTGCGAAATGTACAAAACGACCTCTTCCACGTTGAGTACTAGGAATAATCTTATTTTACATCGAAATATCGAGAATTGTAATCAATAAGTTTATATAAATTTAGCGTAATATAATCTCTTATCATTATAAACATATCTGGTTCTTGTAGTTTCATATTTATACATATAAATACTCGAGTCGAAATAGTAAATGCAATCAAAATAAATGTGCACCGAAAATGTGATTTTGTGACTCAAGTCACTCGAGCCAATTATCTACGTCACTCGAGTCATACTCGAGGTTTCAAGTGACTCGAGTAAAAAAAATCAAACATGCTACTTGAGTGAGCATTCTCTTAATAATATTAAATAAATATATACATAATATAAATAAAATAGTTTTGACATATTATTTATTTAAGTAATCAAGAAAATAAAAAATAAGCGAATAGATTAATAAATTAGAGTAGCGAAGTGACATCTAGTTGCAAGAGAAGAATCAACTCGATACGCCGAATGGACTCGATAACTTGAGTGCATAGAGACTCGCGTAATAATGTTTTCACTCGAGTACGATTCTGAAAAATTCACTCGAGTGTCTAAAGTAAAACCAGGACTAGAGTCATTACAGTCACATTATTGGCTGGACGGGACTTGGTCTTCGAGCTTCGAGGTCTCGTGCTTCGCCTCCATATAGAGGGACATCGTTAGATTTTAATCGGTATGCCCCTGCATTTTGGGTGGGTTATTTTACACAGTCTACATTCTGGGTTAATTCGCAAGGGTGAGTCCTACCCGCCGACCCCGCGCCAGGAGAAAGTGGGTATGAATAACGCATTTCCTAACTTCAAAAAAAAGATGGAGATTAGTGTGATGTTCTTTTAAATATACCTTTACAATATATCATTTACTTTCATTTTTACTTATCAATTAAAAACAACATGTCTGGTCTGATTCTTCAAAATAATGTGGAATAAGTTCTTATTTTTCCCTACGCAGTTATTTTTACAACTTCTACGCTATAAATAAAAGTTGTTATATATAACTAAGAAAAATCTAGAACAGACTTTGCCGTATCGGGTGGTAGGTCAACTAATGCAACACGATGTCTCTGTTACATTATAAAGGTATATACTGAATGGTGACATTAATTTATAAATCAATTCAATTTTTTTTATAACTCATGTTTTTTTCGCAATATATACTGAATAAGTACCGTCTATCATGAAAATTACTTTATAACTTTCTCCGATTTCTAACGAACTTAAAAAAATAGCAATCCCATATTATTCTCATGTTATTAACGAATAATAATGTTTTATAAGAAATTAAAATTTTCATACTATTCTTCTATATTATTATTACTTAATATATTATTTCTACTATTCTTCTATATTTTATTATTACTTATTTTCTTTCAAGCTGTTTTCGACTTGGGCGTTCTCTGGGCGGTTGTCCTGCAATCTCCAAGCATTTCATTTTTTTACCATCTATACTTTTACTGATGTAAAAGAACTAGAAATGATAATCAAACGTCCTAATCAAAAGATTAGGATGTTTGAAAAATGACCAGTGAATTTTTCAAAAGACCTATCAGAATATAAATTACTCGTAATGAAAAATGCCTAAAAAATTCACCTTGCCCCTTAAAAACCCACCATTTTTATGAAAAATGCATAAAAAATCATCTGAGATGTGATTCGAACCCATAACCTTTCGCAATCCGGTCGACCGACGGCTCTAACCACTGAGCTACCCAGGACTTAACAGGACTTACGAATTTTTCAAGCACTTGTTACTTTTTCACCACTATTTATTTTTATCAATATTCAGGCAAAGCACCCAAACAAGCGATTTTTCAAATATTTTAACTTTCGATAAAGATGACAATTTGAATTCACGATGCTATACTGAAAAATAATTTTAATTCAAAATACTTAAAAAATCCACTTTGTCCCTGGTACTTTGTGATGTAAATACAAAATTGATCAAATATATAATAATAAAAAGAAAATAAGAAATATATATATTTATACCGAAGTGATTTATATTTATAATAAAATCTATATACTATCACGCTATTTCTAAAATATAATGAAACAGTGCGTGAAACCGCGGAACATAACTAGAAATATGCTAACTAGAATAACCGTAGCGAACATCTTCAAGCGTGAAGGTGACGTGCCGAGTCGCAATGAAATATTTATAAACAAATGGTTGCTCATTTATGTTGAAAACGATTAATTAGTATTGCATTCAATAGAAAAGTAGAAAATTGAGCTCTATTCACACAACCGTAAGAGAGTCGAATTATAAATAAATTGCGGAAAACTACACATGCTCGCATTAAGATCTTGCTTGCTCTAAATGCGACGCCGCCACGCCTGCAAAGTTTTCTATTGCTAATATTATCGTTTTCCTACTTGATTTCACGATTCTTGTTCGACGGGCTCTTTTCTTGGACTAAACATTACTAAGTCAAACAAACGGAGAAAGTAAGTTTTTATAACATAAATCACAGTTCAAGTATGTATGTAAGACTATCAACAAATGTTGTAATACAGTCTCATTAGAATTTGAAAATGTAATTATTACATAATTTTAGTTTACATACAAATGTAATAGAAAGTACATATAACATTTCAATCAAATAATAGGTATCTATATTATTTTAACACGTTCTTGTATACATCTAGACATAAATAATTTTAAAGGGATTAATATTTTCAACACCCAAACCTACCTACTAAATATGCATTATAAATTAATTAGAAGCAAATTTATCTTTCATGCACATTTGGTACTTAATCAAGTTGTTATTATGTGGTGATCCAATGGACTTCGTATCTCCCTTGGCTATAACGAACAGTTCAAAACCAAATTCAGCTAAATACCTACAATCCCAAAATGGTAGATGAAAATGCAGTATTACGCATTATATGTAGATAATACCGTTTAAGTTAAGGAAAAATATGTTAATAGAATGCATGCCTTTTTTCTTACTTCTTAGGAACAATTTAAATGTTATATAACATCGACTTGTTGTTTAATGATCAAAATATATGTTTCCCGCGTTTATCTTCGAACCGCCATTTTGCAATTACTGCGTTTGCAATAAGAAGGGCATAGCAGTAGTTCCACAAACATAGTACCAAATCCCCGAAACTATTAATCGCAGACATGCTGTTACTTCTACATTATTTTTCAGGCTTCAATATTTACTTATATAATAAAATCAAAAGTACTTTACTAACCTATTGTTGGTCTTTAGTTATGCTCACAATATAATTTGTTATAATATCGGATAGTGGCCACATTATTGTCACGTAAATGAATTTTGGGATAGAATCCAGATAAATTAGGACTTTCGTCTACAGAAATACAATATCAATTTCCGTTTCTATTTATATGAAACTTAACTTAATGGCTTAATGACATAATATTAAGTAATAAAAATAAACCTTGTTACTCATATAATTAGGAATTTAACAGAACATAGTAATATAGAACAGAAGATATCTATATTATTTTTATTTGTTTGTATTCTGCCGCTAGTGGCGTAACTACAGGGTGGCAAGTTGGCAAAATGCCACGGGCCCCCAGCTGAAAAGGGCCCCTAGTCAGAGGAGACTCCTTACTCCTGTCATTTATTATTACACAATTAGAAAAAAAAATAGTATATCTGATGAATTTGCTACGGGCCTCAAACGGTATAGTAACGCCACTGTATGCCGCAATAAAAATCTAATATCAAAACACTGACCTGTTAAGCAGTGTCTCTAGGAGATGTGCCGAATGCGGAAGCGCTTCCAAGAGTAAGTCAATGGGCAGTTCTGCTGCTACAGTCTGCAGCACACCAGGCCCAAGACGCGCCAAAATTGCGCCAGCTTCCCTAAACTGCCGCCCCTCTGCCAGTAGGAGCACCCGTCGCAACGCCAGACGGGGAGAGGTATAAGTGTTCTTCTCTCGCTCCCTCTCTCGTCGTATGCGCTCGCGGCTGTCATTCATGGTGAAGGGTGTCCACTAGCCCATTGTGCGATTTCACAGATTCTTTTGTGCCTGTGGAAAAAGTTACAATTTCAAATACCTTTATAAAAATACTAGCTGTTTTCCCGCGACTTTTCCCGAGTAAATTATAGCCTATATCACTCGCGTATGGAGCAGCTTCCCGTAGGAGAAAGAATTTTCATGATCGGATTAATTTTTCCGAAGTTTTTAATTTATAATATTAGTATAGATGACAAACATGCACAATATTTTGGAAATGTAAAACGATAAAGAGCTGTATCATGTTAGATGAATGCGATCTCTATTAACCAGACCAACTCAAACAAATAAGAGGAAATACTCATGAACATATAAAGACTTGTGTAAGTGACAGTACGATTTAATTTGCCAAAAGTATAAACAAAACGTATACAAAATACAAATCGCTACCTTCAAATCAGATAAAACATTAAATTGAATAACGACTACTGTCTGATAATAACACTGATTGGAATGGAATTAGCTCTACTAGACAAATATGTACGAATTCTATTAAAATACCGTTCACATAATAGTTGACGAGTTATAAAAACGAATGTACTGAGTAACTGTTTGATTTGAGTCAAGAACCTCGATAATAGTCAACAGGTGGTATGGAATCTGGTCCAAGTGACGGATAGCAGGTAAGTAAAGATTTATAAGTAAATAACGATTTATAGGAAAGTAAGGATTTATACTGTTATGAAAATTTTAACATGTACAATTTTTTTATGTTGTGAATTTCTTCAGCATTTCAAACTCTCACTTTACACTTTTAATTAGGATTCAAAATCGCTCACATGAATCCAATATAAATAGATATTGTATTCATGTGAGCGAACACTTGACATATTTATATTTCCGATTCTAAAAACTACGTTAAAAACTCAAACCCTTCGTCATGAATCCCTCGCCCCGTCTTTTGGTGAAAGTTTAGTTTAACTTTAAAATAACAAGAATTATCTAGTTATTATTCCCGCTTATGAACTTTGTTTTTCTTGAAATGATAAACAGCCAGCGTATTCTTTTTCTAGATGAGTTTTGAAGACAAAAAAGGATTTTAGCGCATTTAGTTTTTCTCTTGCATACCGTACATTTGATATTCTCGATAAATTGGATAGCGATTATAGTAAATTTATGCGCGAACGTCACCTCGATCAACTCTCAGCCATTACAAATGGAAATTAACACTTTGAAGTGAAAAATACGAAAGTTTATTATTATTTTGTCGAAATATAATAACATTATACCCTGTTTTGAAACTTAATGAAATTTCATTACATATTGCAATCGCTGCTATGCTTATACATTCTTTAACTTTTAAAACAGTTCTAAAGCGTTGTTAAAACGACATATTAATTGGAAATAATGATAATAGCAATGTTCTGTTGAAATTGTTCATATGTGTTGTTACAGAAATCCATTCATATATTTTTAATGCTTCTTTAAATACATTATTAAAATTATATTTTTATTTGTGTCATTTTCTTTTCTGACTCATAATTAAAGGATCGTTCACCGATTGCATTTAAAATTTCTTAATTGAGTGGCTAAAAACTTTCTTAAATGAGTGGCTGTCCCTGAGACGAAATCAGATCGAATCAAAAACCGAACTTTTAAACTTCATATCGAAACGGTGAGCACCTGTTGTGATATCGAACTTTCTGATTTCCAAAGGCCAAAAACAATAATGGTATCCACTTAGTTTCGAATAAAAGTTTTATTTTCTTTATTATACCTGCTACTATTGATATAGTTTATGAAAATTTAACTTCTACAATTTCCTTTTTATACCTACATCTTAAAGTTCTTATAGATCATATCAGTAACCGTAGTTTTTGATTTGTATAACAAATATAATAATAAATATATAACCTCCTCCTTTTCGATTTTAAAGTCGGTTAAAAAACAGCACTTATATGCACGAGTTTCATAGTGGTCAATTTTTAGTTTGTGCTCTATTCAAGCTTCAGAAAAAACAATAATGAGGGTGCAAAAAAGAAATGAACGGTATAGTTATTGTTCACACACAAAATAGATGCGACGGTAACATACCGTTACGCTCCCGAGGTGCTAACGGACACTAGGGCTGACACCGATGAGAGTACGTATTTTAAATCACTATAGAAATCTTTTATGCAATACAAGATAATTAAAATATAACTACCCATAGCGTCTTTCTGCCTAATTATCCGTCACGTTCTAAACATCTTTTAAATTCTCTGCCGGATCTAGTAAGCAGCACTCGGCTATATATTCAACAACGCGTCATGTTACCGCTGCCCTGTATATGTCCACTAATGTACAAGGCAGTGATAACATAATGCGTTGTTGAATATATAGCTTGCTCACTAATAAAACCAGTCAAGAAGGTTAGTATTTAAAAAAGAGGTCAAAATGATCCTGACTTTGGAGTATGAATATCCACCACCGTGTCTATTAGTGTACCACTGTGTCTATTGAAAGTTAAGTTAATTTCAAGAATAAATAATTTTTCAAAATGGCCAGTCATTGTCATAATATTTTGCATATAATGTTTGAGGCATTTTATGCAAAAAAAAAATCAAGAGTACAGTTCAATAAGACACTAAAATGTATAATTATGTAAAATGGTTTTTAAATAAATTAACCTTATTCGTTTTGAAATATCTCAAGACGTTTATATTTGAACGCAATTAAAAAAAACGAATTCATATATCAATTCATCCATTCGTTTCTTTAATTGTATTGACATACATATTGCATTTTTCGTATCTTAACTTCGTATATGAATGTGATAACCCTGACAATGACAGTGATGATGACAATGACTTGACATCGGTTAATGAGTATTATTAACTCGGACTAAATTGACTTGATACTTGCATGTCAGATTTATAACCAGCAAGTGTCAACTATAGGCCGTGTGTGAAGTCAGTTGTTGCTAATATGACATTGACATAATAAATAGATATCTCACGTTGTATCAGTACACATTTTTACAGTACAAAAATGATTCTTTCATGGGTATATGAAGTTCAATTTTCTTTTGTAGGAATGTATATTTTCCTTGAATGTGGATGAACCAATCATAAAAACGTTGAATGCATTTTGATTGAGACCTATGTCAACCTAATCATAACGAATATAGTTACGCGGTAGGCCTACAGAATCTAATCTTATGATACCTAAACCTCATAGTCACGTATAATGATTACCATATCGGATATTCAATTCTTTATAATTTTCAAAACGTTTTCATTTCTTTTATTGATGACGTGAAACTCAGAACAACTATAAATATTATAGGTATTTTAAGAAACATACTTTTAATCATGCATTAACTTATAAGATTCGAACAAATTTCTTGATGATGACATGACAAAAATTTATAAATCGAGAGTTACCACCCAATTGTCACTAGTCCCCAAAAATATTAACAGAATACTAACCAGGGATCAGCAGTTCCGATTCGCGATTATTTCTTTATAATTTCGATGAAATATTAATAATTTTTAATCGGAATTTCGGTAGCAATTTATCGTTTAAACTGTTCAAGTTTGATTCGGAAGATCAAGTTTGAAGTTCACATATGAAAGATGAACCTCCGGATAAAAAATATAAGAAAACATGATGAATAATATTTCATTCTAAAGTGACTCTTTTAAATAAAAGTTTTGTGGGCCTTCAGTTTGTCTCTGTGTTATCATTATCAACAGCCTATTAATGCTAGGCACATTCCTTCTGAATGGATGAAATCAGATTGGAGCCCAATGCGGATTGGTGAATATTAACGACTACAATTGCAGCCGGAACCGATGGCTTAACATGCCTAATAGTTTTTGGTTACCCATCTTATTACGGACCTTTTCAAATTTGCTTAGCAACCGTTATCGCAGACCGGACGCGCTAAATACTGCGCCATCGACCTCGTATTAGGAAAACAAAATAACAATAAACTGTCATTGAAAATTGACAACATACATGAAGTCGATGGATAAACAAGCCTGACCGTCACCTGCCCGGTCCGTTTCTCTGCGCGTACGCAGGGTAAATTCTACCAGTTTTCCCTCCTACTTTCTACTAGATAAAAATTACTCAAGACACATTTTTTCGCATCATAAAGCGAAATCCTGTCGTAATCTTACTGGTTATTACCTGTACTGATTATAAGCTTAAATACTTTTACAAGTACGTGATAACAATCCAAGCTGAATTATTTGATTTTTTTTACCGAGACACGTTTTACGTAGAACACAAAAAAGATGATTCTACGTTTGTCCGTATACTATTTTTTTACATATGGCAGATTCATATTATGATGGCCCTAGTAATATCTTAATTATAATGTTTTATTAGTTTCCGTGCGACTTTATCTCAGTATTTTCGGCTAAAAAATAACTTATTTCAGAATAATGTTTCTTTGATAATACAGCTAAATCTCTTACTATTTCTTTTCAAATATATTCTCTGTTTTAATGATTACTCTCCCTATACCTACAAACACTCTTATTCGCAAACTCTCTCTTTATAAGTAATATTGTTATTTTTTTCCTTTGTTAACCTAATGTAGCACTGTCTAAAAATGCAGTATTTCTAAAAATAGTAAAAAGAAAATAAAATAACTTAATTGACATTTTTACTATTGCTAAAAATAAGAAGAAACACCTCCCACAATTCGGGAATATTCGATCTTTTTCTAAGTGACTCTAAAACTTTTTTAAGTGACGCAAAAGTTTTTCTCCTCAGTTTGAATGACAGCTTTAATAGCCTACTAGTCAAATGACCACAAAACTTCAAGAAAACCATATTTTAGATAGTTTTGTTACACTACAAATTGTGTTTAGGTATTAACAAAATTGCTTTGCAAGTGCTAACTATTTAAAATTGGAATGGGTCACGAGAATTTTTTAAAGAGACAATGAGCAAAGCACGCTCTTAATTTACCAATATCGTTAGAGGGAATAAAGTCTTAAATTATGCTATATTTTGAATATCCAGCGAAAAAAGGTTGAAAAACACTGCTTTAATGTTTTTAATAATCTTAACTACATTATACTCGGCACACTGACATTCTGAGTTAACTTTTGTAGCACCATGAGTTTGATTTCGGGTTTTGTCAGAATATATTGTCTTGACATTTGATTCTATTTATTATTTTGTGATTCTATAATACAGGTTTTAGTTAACTTGAGATCTGAATAATTTATTAATAATAATATTAAATAATCATTCTCACCATATTCTTCTTATGACAAAAAAAATCCAAAAAGAAGCAGCTCACACAATACACAATAAAAATCACGTATGTCCAAAAACACAACACTAAAAAATGTTCACGTTGCGTTTTATAATCACACGCAACTTGTTGAGAATCTCAGATACAAGCGACGCGACCGCGACCCAAACACGAAATGCAAGCACGTTGGGCGCGTCATCCGTGAAAGCTCATGGATGTTGTTATGCGAAATGTAAACTTATAGTTGTATTATATGATATATGTTGTCAATAATAGGACAGTAATATGTGTTAATTACGATTTAGAACAGTAAGAATGATCCGCCTTACAATACGGCTTTATCACCTAAAAAGCATCCAAGCAATTAAAAATATTAATATCATTATGACAAATGTAAATTAAAAAAACCTATAAATGAAAACATACAGGTAAAAATGATAACATATAAAAGTCTCAATCATAAAGAAGTATTTTTTTCTCTTTATTAAGGAAAAAACAGTTATACATTGTACACATATATAATAAAATCTAGTACATATTTCTAAACCTTTAGTTCCTTGAATGATAAGATTTGATTTTTATTTATAATGTAAACCTCCATAAATATGATATATATATATAAATATATGTAAAAATAGATTATTTAAAAGTAAGTGCAAAACATATATAAATAGAACAATACAATATAAAATCACAAGGTAATATTTATATTTACAGCTTAGCTACTAGTATCATGACGTCTCAATTAAGTATTTTCCAGTAATCTTAGAACTAAAAAATAATGAGTACATATTTCGATTACATTTTTTTTTTTAATTTTTACACAACGCATATGTTACCTTAAAATTGTAAATATCTTTAATTTATAATCTGTCTTTATAATATTTTTTATAAGTTTAAAATATTTAATATACCTACTCATTTTCCTCACACTTGTCTCGGTCTTGCATAACTCTTCAACAGGTGGCTGGAGCTTCCGCTCTCGAGCTCCATGATTTATACGGCAGTATAACAGTATACTTATAATCAGTACCCAATTTTTATTGTTATTTGTAAATAACGTCACGGTCATTAAAAATGGCGTTAGTATTTTATTTCATGAGTTTTTTATTCATTTTAATATTCCTTTAATAATATTTACACAGATAAAGGCATTCCGAAGACCTATATTCAAAATACTAGTGCAATCTACGTATTAAAATAATGATGACGGCACATATGAATTATAAATAATATTTCAAGTAGCACCAATAGCATCAGTTATTTGTTGTCGCTATTCTACACTTTTCAATGAGTTAAAATATATATATATATATATATATATATATATATATATATATAATTTTCTCAAAAAAAAATTATATTTCTTTTTTCATTTTCAAAATTCTATAAACGGGTAAAAATATTCTTATATTACATAAAATACAATACATGTTTTAGCTCGCATTCCAAGGATTCGGTGCTCCTTGTATAATTATTTTATAAATATACTGTGCTTTTAGGCATATTATGCAAATGTTATATACTGTCTTAATATTATCTGGGCCCTATCAACAGCAGCTTACATTGGTCAATGAGTAATAGCTGTACTACTGCGTTATGCAAGTTAACCGTATGAACCCGAGCTATAAACTACTTTTTAATCCCAAAAAACGTTTTATTAGTGAGATCCACTACCAAATGTACAAGACGATTTAGAAATTATAGATCAAAAATTAATTAATTTTAAATATTCGTAGAAAATTTTTTGAATGCTTTTCACGTACTTTCCAATTTTCAGGGCAACTTAATAAATTATTCTTTACCTTAAACTATATCACGTAAAAATAAGTAACCAAATCTCTTTCTCTAATTATACAAAAAATTATTTCATTAAATTTTTATTTAATTATTTTCGGGTGTATTTAAGCAGAAGCGCAAGCAAAAGTTATTTGAAATGTATTATATTAAGCCCTTTCATTTGATACCCTACACGGAATTACTGAATAATATATTTTTTAGTTTCTTACCTTATGCTCTCTAGTTGTGCTGTTTGGTGCCAAATTAATGTAACGTCACATAGACTATAATACGCGGACAATTATACCTCATTTGTCCAGTTACAATGAGTAGTTTTGAAGTTATAGGAAACAGATGAACATTCTTACATACATACATACCAGTTAAAATCATAAACCTCCTTTTTCGCTTCACCGTAATCGGGTAACAAGTTGGTCATTATATAATAATTAATCTATCTTACGAACTGAGTAATGTTACTTAACTCAGCGCATCTAATTGCGTGCTCACTTCAAAATAATAATTAGACTACAATATTTACACACAAACAACAGAAAATTAATCAAAACGAATAGAGGAAATGATGAGTAATCATTATTGTTATAAACCTTGGGTTACGGCTGTTATATTCTATATTATTTTTTCATATTTACACAAGTGAGAAGTATAACTTGTACGAATGAAGATGACACCTGAAACCCTATTCTATTTGTCCTCGAACAAAAGTTAGAAAATTATGAATTGCTATTAAAATTATCTATGCATCATAATTTAAGTTAGAGGAAGTTTCAAGTCCTCCCTCCGTTGCATTATAAATTATCTAAATATGGAGTCGTATTAACGTTAAGAAAATAATCTTTCTTGGAGAATTAAAATAGGTCTTCAGGAGTCAATATGATTCTTACTAGTACGTACGTAGTATTTTGAATCAGTGCATATTATGCGTTGGGTGCTGAACGTACATTGATAAATTATTTTATACTAACTGATTTCCTGCGGCTTCTCTCGCGTAAATTAGAGCCTATGACATCCGCGTGTCATGTAGTTTCCCGTAGATGAAATTATTTTTAAAATCGGTCTAGCAGGTAGTTTCATTACCAAATCAATCTTTCCTCTCTAAAGTAGAAGTATATATAGATATTCAACCTTACAAACTCGATAGATAATCCTGCCGCGTACTAACGCATTCTGCGCCGTGAGAAGTTATGTAGATCTATCAAAACAGTACGTACGTAACTATTTTGAATTAGTGCATATTATGCGTTGGGCGCTGAACGTACATTGATAAATTATTTTATACTAACTGATTTCCTGCGGCTTCTCTCGCGTAAATTAGAGCCTATGACATCCACGTGTAATGTAGTTTCCCGTAGATGAAAGTATTTTTAAAATCGGTCTAGCAGGTAGTTTCATTGCCAAATCAATCTTTCCTCTCTAAAGTAGAAGTATATATAGATATTCAACCTTACAAACTCAATAGTTAATCCTGCCGCGTACTAACACATTCTGCGCCGTGAGAAGTTATGCAGATCTTCCGTGAAATTTGCACCAACTCTTAACTGAATGAGACAATAAGTCAAATAGATATTTATAACATATATTATAAAAATATTATAATTAAATAGACCTCATCGCTCTTCGGGCGGCGAGGTATGCTTAAAGCGTTTCCCTAAAAATAAAAGAAATGGTTGGTTATTATTTTTCAAGATAATATAAAGGGGTAGTAGTGAAGATTTTTCCACTTTTATCACTGTCAGTAAATATTTTGTACTTATGACGTCATAATATTCCTTTCCTTGTTAAACTGAGTTTTATTAATTAAAAAATAATTTCGCAGTAAATTATTGGAATTTGAAATGTGTTCTAACTCTGAAAATATACAAATAAGGAACTCGATGGCCAAAAATACGTATGTTATACTTCCGCACACACAAATTTTTTAAACAAATTATAACAATTGTTGAATTAATTGGATCAAGGATAATATTACCACAGATATATCACGATGTCTGTGAACGATTCTAAAAATTTTTTAATGATACATAAAAAAAAGAAAAATATTCTACATTCAAGAATAGTTATTTTCAAATCGAATATTAATTAAACTTAAAACTATGAAGAAATATACAACGGTTTGTTTAAAAATATTTTCATAATGCCTAAAACTAGAACTTGGCTTCGCATATACAGCAGTGCTTCAAACATTGAATTCGACATTTAGTACAGCGCTGTCACAGCATGGATATTAAATCAAATAAAACCTACTTCAAAAGGTAGGTAATAAAGGTTTAATTGAACAAACATAATGTTTGATTTAATTTGTTTAAGCAAGCTTTACAATCTAAAATCATATTACCTCCGTAGCCGAGTGGCTCGTACGTAACAAGATAAATCTCCAGTTTCCGCAATGAATTTTTCTATATTGTCTCGGCTCTAGATGTTGTCATCCCTTCGCTGTCTCAGATACTCTATAATACAAGCTTTAGCTACTCATTTTAGAATCTGAGATAGGTTTTGTCTAATACTAGATTAATTCAAAATACTATATAATTTCTAAGTACACACTAACAGTGTACCATTGTCTAATTAGGTCAAAGTTGTCAATAAATTGTTATCTAATAATAAAAATGTTATAAAAAGGAACTGGTGTCGAATGCTTTTGTAGTTTTTGTCACACCCGGCCCGTATTGGTTAGTTCATCGACATTGTACAATGCCGTCTTTGCGGTTAGCGTTACCGTCGTCTGCTTCCTTCTCTCACATTGTCGCGGGTTCACTGCCCAGAAACCTTATGATTAGGGTTACCAACCGTATTGTACTCTATAATAACACTAATAGAGGACGCTCTAATACTCTGTTTTAGACAATGTTTAATATACTAGTGGCAGTTATGCATATACGATGCATACCTATTATCTTCACCAAAAAAAAATTACATATTTAAAAATGGGAAATAAATTATACTCTATTTTATAAATCCGTCCTCTATATTTCATCATCAACGTCTGCCTATTAATGTCCTCACTGCTGAGACTCAAACCTTTCCCTATAAATGTAATCGAATCAAATCGAATAAGGGCATTTGAAATTTTATTACAAGAAATATATTATATATGTACTCTATTTCTTATAATGAAAATAGGCAACCCTGCTTATGATAGGAAGTTTTCATTGCGCTGACCACCCCGCAACCGAGAATCGAGTAAGTCGGACTAACATTTGAATTAATTCCTTTATTTTCATAAAGATTCTATAACACAAGTATTAGCCACTAATTTAAACATGCCTAAGTTGGGTATACTTCAATAAAAATACAGTAAATGCGAGCTAAACCATCACAGAGACAAATTGTAAATCGGGCTTTAATAATCGATTTTTTTTTTTATGCATAATGCCTT